TGAATTAAAGGTTGGATCACTCTAGCACGAAAATATTGTATTCGCCTGAATTTCTCGCGTCTTCACCTCAATTAGAGGACGATGAAAAAACCAAAGAATCGGGGTGGATTTTAGCTGAGCGAAAGTGGTGCAGCAGATAATCGAGAAAAATGTGCGCCACTGATGATTCACCTCAATGAGTAATTCGATTTTTTTCTAAGTAAGCGGTCGCTGAGCAAACCTTGACGTGAGGGTCCGTGCAAAGGAAATGCAAACAAACAAACGCCACCTCAGGAAAAAGTTTGAATTCTTGCCGGAGGGCATACGCCTCTTTTCCGCGGGGGAGGGAGCGACACTTTAGCTTCCTCACCCAACCCGACAGATCCCATGTAGGAATCCCATTGTAGAAGGCGAAAGCATACAACCGACTCCTTTTCGGCACCAGTACCCGAGTCGTTTGTTGGAGAAAATTGCGCACTTATCCAGCTCAAAGGTAAAGCAACGACCAGGCCCAATGATTAGTTGGCCTTGGGCATGCCTTTTACCCCAAACGGGAAAGAATTGCAGCAATGGGAGTGGCAAGTTTAAGTCTTGACGTGGTTTTTGAATGAGGCGTGTATGGCCCAAGATTACGTGACACAGTTTGTGGCAATGCATTCAAACATTGTCACTTTGGTTTTATATTTGGAAGTAAATCGGTAGACGGGGGAGGAGAAACTCCAGAGGTGGCTGTTTTCACCTTCAATGTTCTGCCCCTCCTAGGCTTAGTCCTAGATGATGCCCTCCCCTATCTTCACATAGCGTCATGAATAGATATTTTCTATAATATTACTGACCCGAGTGAGCTCCTTAATTTTAAGTTGGATGAACAGGGTTTGGTGATAGTTTTACCAGTAATTAAATCAGTTGGAAGAGGATGGAGCAAGTTTTCCTGTGCCCTCCCTTGTATTTCTATACAAATCCCCTCTGCTTCTGAGAACCAGGTCCGCGTCGAGTGCAAACCACATACCACAATTGACGTTGGCCTCAGTAATCTGGTAAGTATCTTATAGGCAGTTCAGTTTACGGAAGGTGTAGTGGCTCAACTCCTTACGGGAGGAGTCTATTCTCTCTTCACCAACGTAATACACATGCTGAATTCAACGGAATTCGGGTGCTAACTTAGTTGGGGGGGGGCACGCGGCGGCGCGGCAGTCTGCTCACCTGGGCTCTCTCGAGCGAGACAGTGTAAACTCGAACATTCCAGCTTTTCACGCATGTCAAGTGACTGCCCCACCCCCCCCCCTAGACTGCTACACTCCCCCTGGCCCACGGATTTCCGAACATGCCAGGCGAGCAGACTGCCGCGCCGCCGCGTGCCCCCCCCAACTAAGTTAGCACCATGATTCTCTCGTAAGCTCTTATTTCGTGCCCCAGTTCCTCGTTGCGCACTTCATTCGGGAGGTATTCAAAATAAGTAAATAAGTAGTGGTTCTCAGCGATTGCTGTAGAGTTAGTAAATGATAGGGGTCCTGCGACGGAGAAGGGGGGCATGTGGTGCGACAGTTCTTGCCGGCTACAGAAATTCCAATTTTTGCAAGGGGAGGGAATCCCCGGGGTGCGTGAACCATTTCGCTTAAACTTTTACACCCACCCCGGAGCTTCCCTCCCCTGAAAAAAGTGGATTACTTCATGCAATATGAACTGTCGCACCACATGCCCCCCACTTACTGGATGAGACCCAATGATAGTTCTAATTAGTGGCAACTTGATAGAATACAACTGCAACAGGCTAATCATTTCATTGGCAGAAAACATTTACATTTTGTGGAGGCCGTCGTCACTTGTGGTGTGTGGTCTGCACTCGACGAGCATCTGGTTTCCAAAAACAGAGGATATGGCTCTCCTCCTCTCCATCAAGTTTGTAAGAAGCAGCGCAGAATCGATTTCCTTTTTATTATTATCTTCCTAAATCAGCCCTTCAGTTTGTTCTAGTAGTAAGTAATGAATCTAAAAACAGATAAAACCTTCATGTACAAATATGAACAATTTGGCGAAGAGACAGGGGAAACGTGTTCGCTGGAAAAACAGCGATTTTAACGCTCATACAAACTCACATACACCACATGTCTAATTAGCAAGATCTGATAGAGACTAATTGTGAGAAGTCCGTGTAGCGATGAGCGATTCAGAAAATTGAATCTAAAAAATAATTCAGAGAAAAGTGCACTACAGGACAAACCATAGGCTTCATTTCTCATTTTTGTGAACTCTACCCAAATCTCAACGTGTAGAGCGACGCGATGAAAAGAAGTTAGACCAAGGGGTCAGGAAAATACGTACCAATGAAAAATTCGTAAGACTACGGTATCACAGGAGCTCGACGTTGGAGGCAGATCACATTATGCACAAAACTAGTGATCAGCTGGCTATCTTACTTATAAAACAGAGTAAAAACAATCTGCTATAGACGATTCCAATCGTGTGGGATCGTATTGATTGATGACAGTGATAATAAACACAATCTGGTATTCAATAAAAAAATCTAGGACAAGCATCGTGGCCCCAAAAATGCAGGGTGTGAAGAAAGAATAAATATTCCTCTGGCCGATAGGAAAACTTGAAAATACCGTACGATGTTGGTAGCGTACCGTAAGAATGCTGATATGCAGATGAAAAACTTGAAAGAGCATATCGGAAGGATTTTAACAAACATCAATCAAAAAACGAAAGGTGCAGCACCGGAGCGGGCGGGGAGGTGGTATAGAAAGGAGGCGAACTCCACAAAAGAAAAAATGCCTCGACGATACAAAAGCGGAACAGTCTGACGAAGGGAAGACTCCATTTAACGGAAAAAGTCGTCACCAAATGGATCTGCACGGTTAGCCATAACGACTGGTGCAGGGCGCATCGGTACGGCGCCTAGTGAGTTCAGTGAAGCCTGAAAAAGAATTGCTCACTTTCGATACGCCTCACAACACATTTGCACAATGCTTACGATCCCGATCACGATCAAGAAGAAACTAGAAAAATTGTAGGTGTTTAAAGGCAGAAGATGCTTTGAGAACTACAGTTTCAACCTCCCACATAGAGCGAATCTAATAGCCTGTGCTCACTCGGGCTCACTAGTTGGGAGCTTGAGGTTGTTGTACTATGAATCACACTGATAGGGTTGTATTCAGCGATGTCGGCAGTGCGCTATAGAAGAGTGGAGGGCACCACTTATCTAGCGCTTCCGAGATTGACGGTTTTTTTATAAATATTCGGTCTTTACAGACCTTACCAAACTTTCACTTTTTTCGGCCGTGTACTCGCCTTCGATTTCGAAGTTGGATCGTTAGACCAAAATCAGTGTTCGAAGAGCCTGATCATATTGGCCTCTAATCGCTTTTCTCACTGCTTCCAGCGTGCCAAGATGTGCAACCCACCGTCTTCCCACCAACGGAGACCCTTCTCCAGCTCACCTCTTACAAGTGGGGTCATTCAGGGCAAGCTGCGCTGTTCGAAACGGTTTCCTGCATATTGTATGTGCATGTATTGACGATTGACGACAAAACCATGTTTTATTTTCGCTGAACCATTTTAGTATTACCCAAAAAAGTAGTGGAGATACTTTCAATAGTTCGATCCTGCCTTGACGACGAAACTCTTGCATTTCAATGTATTGGCGGTACTTGTAGGCTTGCAATATTGGGTGGCTGGCATGAAGTATGGACATGTCTGATTTTGACATTTACTGCCACTTGGAGCCAGTCCGGCGCCAACCCAAATGCGAATTTTAATCGCCATCACGGATTAAATCATGAACAGTATCTTACACTTCTTTTTAGGTACTGCTGAAATCACTCAGCGGAAAAAATATGGTTTTGTGGTTTCTAAATGCATCCTTAAAATATGCAAGAAACCGTTTTGAAAAGCGCGGCCTGCCTGAAAGACTTCCCTTTCTACCCAAGCCGTACATTGCTTGTTGAACACGTTGCGACCGCACCTATTCTTCGCTGTCGGGGACGCCGGCAGTTATTTTGACGCGCGAGATGACATGACATGGTCGTGTTCACGGCCGTCCCACGAGAACTCCTTTTTCTCAGGAAGTGTGTATTTGTTATCTTCTTGTGTGGTAGGTCTCCGATTATGCGATTTTGGCCATTTTAGCGATTCCTGTGATTTGATCATTATTCAAACATTTTTAGAAAAACTCGATAGCCCATCAACCGAAGCTTCTTTCCAGGGACCACGCCTTTTGTAACAATGCCTAAGTATGGCGCATACATCACGTAAATAAGTTACCTAAAATGTTTGAAAACCAGCTTAAAAAAGACTGTGACATGACATCATGTCACACGGTCCCACGTGGCCGAAAGAGTGTGGTATGACATCATACCACACGGTCGTCAACGTGTTAAAAATACAAAAGATGTCAAGGATCGGAAGACGAAGACGAAACTGGATGCAAGCTGATCGGAATGGACCCAGGCTCGGCCGAGGCATTCGTGGTGAAAATATAGTCAAACGGCATCGTGCGGTTTCACGGCGGCCGCCCATGCAGGCTGGAAACATACAACAGAAGCTATTTTTGGTTTTGTGAATCTCTTGCCTGCCCTATATGGATTCCGATATTATGCAGCACCAAAAATTTTGACAAATTTATTTAGCGACTAAAATCGCAGATATCCATGTTGCGTCTCCACCATTTGCCACGTCAGGGTATAGTCTTCAGCGACATGACTAAATACTCAGCAGGAGGCGTAGAGAGGACAGGCGTGTAAAAACAACCTTGGGTGGACTTTTAGAATCTTGATCAATGGATTCTTTTTTGACGTATTCATTTAGCCGGCGAGGCCACCTAAAGCGTCTCATGGTCCACAAGTTCGTGAAGGCTTCTTCCAATGACGTCACCTTGCGCTCCTCCCACTTCGTCTGATTCTGTGTGTGAGCACTGGAATGCAAAGCAAATGGAAAGCAAATAGACATCTTATTTCAATGAAATCTAAAACAAAAAATCCTTAAGGACGAGCAGACGGCAACAAGAATTCTTTTACTTATTATCTCCCAAAGCAGTATTGAGTAGGGTTAGTAGTGAAAGAATTGGCATGATGCAATTGTGGAGCAGCGTTTTCCTTTGTTCCCCAGTCAACAGTCCGTGCAGCAGTATTATTCATCATTGGCTGTATTTGTAAAACGCCACGAGTATCGAAAGGATCACGAGGTGGTACAAATTGTTGAGGAGCAGTGACGGCAGCGGCGAATGGATTCGTTTCCTAAAAAAAGACATTCAGCGGGAAAAATAAGAAATTCCGATCAGCTGTTTCCGTGCTAAAGCACAGCAAAAACTCACAGAGAAACCTCCAGGAACAAACGATGGAGTACTATGTGTATGTTGCATGTGCGTTGCTCCCCAAGCATCAGCTGCGAACGGCGCAACAGCAGGCACTGCTAACTAAAAGCGGCAATAGGAACCATTTCGCAAACAATAATATTTAGTCCAAAATTTTGAATATTACAAGTGCTCACCTGGAAATTGTTATGGGCAACCTGCGGTGGTACTGCTGGAGGCTGAGGCCACACTGTACTTTGCGAGTGAGCATTGAACGTCTGTTGGAACTGATGTGGATTATGAGCCGCACCATTCAATGCAGCACTTCCATAAGACCCATTAATGGAAACCTGAAGGTATTGTGTTCAAACTTAACAAAAAAAACTTCATGGAGTCAAGCGAACCAGAAATCTAGCAAATAACAAACTTTGTAGGAGTCATTTCAAACAACACCACAAAGCAGAACGGGTGCTGCATGCGAAATTTCCAAACTGAAGCAAGGCTTTCCACTCATCCCCAAGTACCAGTTAAAGTAAATAGCCATCAAAACCGGACATCCAAAACCTCACGACGTAAAACTTGACATAAGAGAAAGTCGAGGAAGAAAATTACTGATCGAAGTCAACAGTTTCCTATGACCTCAAGAACTCATTCATTCTGATCCTTTCCGAAAAGGCTCCTGAGCAACCATCGATGATAATCAAAAGCAAAGAATTAACAGCACTTTTGATCAGCGAATTCACAGCAGGTTCAACTTCGCCAGAATTCACATTCGAATATAACGACGAAAATACATCAGAGTAGTACTTCCCTATAGGAAATAGAGAACTTACATTGTTGGTTAAGCTGTCTTGGAACGGGTCAGCGAATGGAGTTGCGCCGAACGCATCCGTGTTCGTCGGTATCTGTTCCAATTGATGTAAACCTTGTTCGATTTGCTGTACTTCCGTTTCCAAATCTAATAGGTCTGCAACCGCTACACCATCGACTGGTGTTGTCTCCTGCAATGCACATGTAATTAGCAAATTTACCTTATTCAAACCGGACATAGGCATACTAATTCGAAGTGCCTGACACATGGGAATGAGCTCATTTTATTGCACTCAATGGTTCAGCTATGAGTGGCATCATTTTCTATATGATAAATTTAGTTCAAATATTCAAAACATGTTCACTGCATTGTCTATTTTGCGAAAAAAAAAACATTCAGATTTTCCAGATAATCGAAACTTCTGGAAGACTAGATGAGGGTGGAAACAGGACATTTTCGAATAAGGGGATCTCGAAACCCTTACTCAATGATCATATTTGAAAGAAGCGCTAAAGTAGAAAACGGGATAAGCCTTTCTAGAGTGCTGAATCCATACCGAAATAAAGTGCTCGCATTCAGTTTTATTGCCGCTGAAATAGTCCAGTTCGGGGGGGGGGGGCACTCCATTTTTTCTCCAATACTCAAGATAAGGATTAGAGGGCTCACGACACGTAATCGACTCATTTAAAGTAGACTTCTGATAAATATTGGTGTAATGGGTGAGAAACCCTGAAACGTTTTCACATTTCCGCCTGCCATGACCCAAGGGAACGGTCCTGGACCAGGAGAAAGGACACCTCCGCAAAGGGCTAAGGGTGCAGGAGCTCCAGGGTGGATCACCTGTGCAGAAAAGTGGATGGGATGTGGGCAGGTAGTGTGGAATGTAGGACATCCACCGGTCCTTATCAAAAGTACGCTCGAAATGAGTCGTTCACTTATTATCTTATCCGTAGTGTTCGATAGCCCAAAGAACTGCTCTCTAGTACTACGGATAAGATAGCAATGGAGTGGCCCCCCCGAACTGGAGTTTCACCAATTTCAATAGACCCTATGGTTGTGGACTCCCACATACACCCTCCACCTCCTTAATTTACTACTAATCAATGTAGTTTATTAGGATAATGATTGATCTCGATCTCGATTCTTGATGATTCCGCTTCCAAGATGATGCTTTCCTTTCCTCTTGACCACTGATCACAGAGCAAAAATGAGGTATCACACTACCACTTGATCTCGTAGGAATGCGTCCGCATTTTGCGGGAGAACAAATAAAAAACTTCGTCATCGAAGCGAGGAACTGAAAGCAGTACAAACAAAGCGGTTGCACAGGCGACCAATACGACCACACAACTCCCACTAGAGGAATGAATCCCTTGGCAAAAAATTACAAGCCTTTCCGAAACGAAGGATTCTGGACGAAGAAGATCACAATAAATCAAACCAGAAATCCTCTGCAAGTTTTAATGTTTCCACTAATCAGATACGAAACCTGTAAAGTCTGGAATGAAGGACGTGCTATTCACGTGCTCACCATGTGTCTAATAAGGACCAAAACCGGAATATTAATCGATCAACGAGACCTGCATATTATCAGGACAATTACCCTACGTAGGGAAGAGTTTATTCCCTAAATGGACATTGTTTCTATTTCCTTTTGTACATAGATTCTGCCAACTGATCACCAAAAGAGCCCCAAACTGGGGAATTACGCGACTTTGTCTTATCCGCCGGTCGATCGAAACAAGCACGCTTGCAAACCGGCTTGCCGTTCTCATCAATTCAGTCGTAAACGGAGAAACGAAGCAGTTTACGGCTTCCGAAAGATGGACATTCATACGAAAAATGGGAACGTCTCGCAGCAAAGCAGTTCAATGACAACAGAAATGCATACGCACTGCTCTCGTTACATAAAAGATCAGGCCACTACGTTTTGTTTCCAACTAGTCTACATGAAGGTTTTTGAGGCACTTTGTTACGATATATCGTCCGCTAGTAAGTCTACTTGAACTGAAATTTCATCCAAACAGTCGCCTTCTCCTACTCTCCTCTCTTTCTAAAAATGAATCAGCAAATATCAACACGATGTACCATACTGACCGAAAGCTAGACATAGCAAGCATCACAGTCTGATGGATACCCCAAGGGCGAAACGAGACGCCAACAGATTATCTATGACTCCAAATCGTAAAACGCTATCAAGGCGCCACGTTGTGGTTGATATCAGGAAGGATAAAGTGCTCGTACTCACGCGAACAATAGCCACCAAGTCTTTACGTGTAGCCAAGGATTTCAAAATAAATATCATCAAACGACTTACGATGACAGTTACAGAAATTGTTGAAATGACCGAAGTTGACAAAGCTCGAATGAGATTAGACACCTCTTTGCCTAAACTGTCCTTCAAGTGTTAGTGGAACTGTTAATCTACTCAGAAGACAGGGACTGCCAAATCGCTGACGGCGCTGGTCACTTTTCATCACATTAGTGCAGGTAAAAACGACCAAAAAACCGGTCGGCATTTTGCGGGTGCGTCGGTATTGTGTGAGGAATTAAACAAAAACAAGACACTTGCGCTAATCCCTTTTGGTGGTGAACTAGGAAATCAGACACGAAATAATGAGAAAGCGATTTCATTCACTCCCATAAGAAATGTTCTAGGCCTTTTTTCCGATAATCCAATTAAGGAACCACAAAATACCCAACAACAAAAGACTTGCTTAACTCAGCCCTCTATGACCGATAAAAACCACAGAAACTTTTAGAAGCACGAACCTTCCGCTCTTCCTGCTGTTGCTTGACTTGTTCAATGTGCTTCTTCTTCATCTCAAAAACAACCTGCAAAAACAATATTTAGCTGGTTAGTAAAGAAAAAGGGGTAAATATAATCGGTATCATCATAAAAACGCAAAGACACTACCTGTCGAACATTGTCACGGATGCGAGCACTGCTTGTCGCTGTCTTGCGCGGTGATCCCGTAGAATTGTATTGTCTGAAAATTAATACATTATCAATCGGAAGTCACTTGGAGATTATTGTGAAGATATCAAGCAAACCCCATCCAGTCAACCTTGAACAAATCCAAGCAGGTTCAGTTGCAAATATTGAACATCAAATAGAACTTACTATCAGGTTGGCCGAAAACAATTCCAAAAGCTCGTGCATCAGTCGTATCTCGAGCAATAAAGACACCCTCGATACTGGGAAATTATGCAGCACAGCCTGAAAAGTATTTCTCATAAGGAGAGAAATGGCTACATCAAGGACAAAATGTTTTTATCGTCAAGCGACTCTTATTATGCTTTAAAAATGAAATATTTCGCTGATATATATGCACCATGAATTCAAAGCGGCGGGAGTGGTGTAGTGACAAGTGCGCGCTTACCACGCGAGCGGTCCGGGATCAAATCCTGGGTCGTGAGTCGCCCGGGCCAACCAAGCCTTCCATCCCTCCGGGGTCGGTTAATTGGTACCAGACTTGTCTGGGAGGATAAAAACACTGACTTGTACATCGGCTGGCCCCCGCAAGTCATTGTATAGGCCACATCGCATTCAAACGCCACTACGAATGTACAAATGGAAGTAGAATGCGTGCCGCATCCCAAAAGGGATTGATCAACGGCAAATGCTTTATCCTTATCCTTATGAATCAACTCAATAACCGGCCCAATTTAGTGCCACAGGTTTATAACACATCCACACCTTTAACATAGCCGTTTCGGTGAAAAAGCGCAGAGAACAGCAGAGACAAGCTAAAAAGTTATCGATCTGCCTTGGTTGCCTGTAGACAGTCTTTCATTGCGCTCATGTGAAACTACACAGAAACCTCTAAAAAAGAGGAAAAGAGCGCAGATATGGGCAACATAGCTTGACACAAGAACATATGCT